AGGTCTTGGCCACCTGACCTTCGCTCCCTAGCGTACCAGGTCCCATCCAGACTGCCTCCTCTCCCCTTTGCTCTGGAAATAGGCACAGAAACCTGGTTGTCTCTAGGGGAAGAGGAGCCTGTATGCCGCATCGGCTGTAGCTCTTTGCTCCTGAGTGGGGTCTGTGTGGAAACAACCGTGTGTCCCGTGCCAGCTCAGGGTGGAACAAGGTTGTGATCATCTCCACCCTGAGCTAGAGGCACCAGGGATCATTCAGCAGGCAATTCATCCAGGGTCTCTCACCCACCCCAGGCCAGATTCGAGAACTTCTCAGCCTGGCAGTTGCGATCATTTAGGATTTCTGCCCTAAAGTGGCTGTGGTTTGGAGCGCAGACTCTTGGGAACGGGAGGCTGGTGTCTCGGTGCCATCATTTTACACTCAACTCCACAAATGACAGAGCTGTTTTGTTAACCTGGCTCCTCTCTCTGGTTGGGGTTTTATTTATTTGCTTGCTTCACTTTGTGTTAAGCAAGGGTCCCATCCTGTAGCCCAGGCTGACCTCAAAGGCAGTAGGTAGACTTAGAGCAACCAATCAGATTGTATGCACGGAGGCTGGGGTTGCAGGAATGGGTCACCGTATCCCCATGCCTCCTATGTCTGATAAAGCTGTTACCCTCCCCCTATCTCTCAAGCTTAGACTCCCCAAATCACCACTGATTTACCCTCCCCCACACCCATATTCTCACCCACGGGACACATCCTCCCATCTGTTCCTTGGTGCCAGTCCCCCCAATGCCCATCTCTGTTGGAGTTGAGTTGCTCATTATGGCTCTGCCAGACCATCGTAACACACTCCCAATTATTCTCCCAGCTTCACGCCTTCCTCTGCTCCATTCCTCAGTCACTGCCACCCAGTTACTCAATGTGCCGTTTGCATCCCGCCAAGGAGCTTCTTGTGGCCTACTGTCAACAGCTTCTCTTATCAGATACTCGAGATCCTCGTGTCCTCCACTCACTTTTGCACACGTGAACTACATATAGCACATGCAGTCATTTTAGCTGAGTTAAAACACGCGTTTTGTGCTTACACTTCACTCTTTTGTCTGAAGAGATTTCATAGAACCTAAAACGCTTCCACAAGCCTGAAAATCATCTCCAGCCGGAAAACCTGACCGTCCTGAACAGTTAGTGTGGTGCCTCCTTCAGGGAATCCTCTACACCAACCTGGGCTCTGCGGTGACTGTGAAAGAGACGCAATCCAGCTTTGCCATTCGAGTACAGGGTAGCAGAAAGCTCAGAGCTCACTGCTTGGAGGCTTGGGGTACAGGAAGCAAGCATGCCCTCTCGCCTTTGTACACCCACGACTAGAATGGGCTCTCTGCCTGCCTGTGGGATCTGACGAATTAGTGACTCTGTTGTGTAAACAGAAAGCCCAGCACACCTGGAACTGTCCTGCGTCATCCCCTTGCCTCCTCTCAGTTCTCCCAAGCCCGGCAGACACCTGTGTCGTCATTATCAACACTGACACAGACTCATCTCATCTCGCACTTTTTACTAAGGTCTAACGTGCTGTATTCTGGGCGTTTGGAATTATCTCAAAGGGAACACCTGTTACTTAAGCGTTCTTATTTGCAACCTCTGGAGGGCAATTTATTCATTACTATATTAAAGTGGGTTGTTTAATAACTTATAACTGTCAAAGAAGAAAGGTAAATTATAGTCACTGTGATCAAACTGGATACCTAAAAGCCATGTATTTTTCCACCCGCAATTCTTTATTTTTTTCCCCCAATTTCAATCCTGTTTTTTAGGACCAACTAAGAAACGCGATGTAAAACAGTGAGAGCGAAGGAGGTTTAGTGTTGCTGCCAGACTCCTATTCAACCTTAGTATCTCATTATATAGTCTACTCTTGACTTCAGGATGCCATATTCATCATCATAATTGTGTAAGTGGCTTTAATGCCTTTTTCTTTCTCACGTGATTAAGATCATTAACCTAATTACCCAATAATTAAATTTTCGAAACTCTGCATGATAGAATTTTATTCTTCTGTAGAAAAAAGAGCACTAACTGGATTTGAGCAAGACACACTTTTAACTCTCTGGGCTTATAAAGAATCAAGAAGGATGGCTATATTTTTACATAGAGACTTCAAGATGTTTACAGACAGAAGAATTAATGCATCAGAATTATAGTCAAATGTGGGATTGGAGAGATGGCTCAGCAGCTAAGAACCCTGATCTTCCAGAGGACTGGGGTTCAGTTCTCAGCATCCACATGACAGATGGCAAACATCTGAACGTCTAGATCCAGCACATTCAATGCCATTTTCTGGCCTGCGGGCACTGCACGTATGTTCTGCGCAGACACATGCACCCATGAACATAAACTAACTTTTATTAAAGTTAGACCTTGGAAGGACCAGTCTTCTTTTTGAGACATCTGTAAGTGCAGAGAAGGGAAAAGATGGGGGAAATGCTAGAACAGGCAAAGGGGGCAGCAGCAATTCAGGTCTGCGAAACTCACCTGGGGGAACAAAGCACAGAGCTCTGGCTAGGCTAGGATATGATTGGCTGTCATCAATGACACTTAAGGGACTCTTCAGAATAGAAGGACATCTATTTACATATTCCTTAAATGTAACGTTGGCTCAAAAACAGTTGCTTTGAAGGCGGAGCTTGGATCAGGGAAAGATTAGACTGCTCAAATGTGCCCAGTCTCAGATGAGGGGAACACTTGAAAGGAGGGAAACAAGAATACAGACAAACCGGATACCACCACCACCATCACCACAGATGGTTGCCATTTCTTAAATAATTGCCACGTGCCGGGTACAGTCTTAGGGGCTTTGGTGCAGCATCTCATTTCGTGTCCACAGAACAGCCTTTGCCAGATAGGAGCATTGTTGCCACTTTGTGAGTGGAGGAATGGAGACAGTGAGATTAATTCTCTTTAGGCTCAACTAATGATGATGACAATGTATTAACACAAAAGGGGAAAAAAGCAGTTTCATCAGAGAGCATCATAAGTAAAAAATGAAAGAAGACATAAACAACTAAAAGCACGCAACTACAGAGCAGAAGTCAATGGCAAAGTCAATAATAATAACAGCAGCAACAACAAGAAATTCTCGCCCAAAACAGGTGAAACTAAAGTGGCCCAAGATCTTGAGCTCCCTGTAGCACCTTCCACCTACCTTCCCTTCTCAGCTCTCCAACAAGCTTGTCTTATTTATAGCCACTGTCACTGCCCTGGGGGAAACGGGAAAAGAAAAAGCTCCCTTCTCCCATGTCAGTTTCCAAATACAAAGAGGCAACTTGCTTTACACCCTGACTGCAGAGTAAAGGCTGAGCTCGCAGGGAGCCACAGCCACTGAAAACCCGATTGGCACTGCCTGTCACGGCCTCCACAGTCCCAATCCTAGGCCTCAGCAAGGCAGGCTGAGGGTGCCAAGAACTCTAGCCTTGAAAGTGCTGTGTATGAACAATATCCAATGAAAGTTATGAGCTGAAAGAGAATAGTTTTTAAAAAGTCATAGAAATAGGAGAAAATCAATTATGGATGAATAATAATTTTAAAGGCAATAAAAAGACTACTGCCCAGGGTTGCACGAGTATCCTCCAGTTCAGGAGGGTCTTTTGTAGCTCACATATACAACATGGGTGTGGAAAGAGAGGAAAAAGATGTGTGATCTTACAGGCTCTTCAACACATCAATTACTAAATGTTTTCATTTCTTCCCATGACTTTTTAGGACCATAGAGAAATTGACATTTATTGAAAATCATAACTAGGTTGCTGATCCTCAACTTGTCAAGGTCTTTAAGAAGAACATAGTGAATAACAAAAGATTAACAAAATAAAACACTTTCCCAGGATCTCCTTAATGTTAAAGGATCGTATTGACAGACATGTCACAAATATATGAGACTTGGGTTTAGCTCAGTTCAGCTGGTCTATGTAAAATTATAAACTTGCAGGTGAAACAGGAAAAAATGCAAAAAAAAAGTCCTTCCCACATTTTTTTGCTACTGTACTCAATGGCATCCAAACTCTAGAGAAACATATGTCTCCATGAGACAAAGATATAGACATAAAACAACCATAGAAGCAAGGGTGAGAACTTTAAATTCTTAGGAACTCGGAGAAAGTCTCACAGAGAATGACACCCAGCTCCACCCCTCAGGGACTGACAGAATGAGAACTTTCAGATTCAACAATCTCGTATCAAGTTCAAATCACTGTCAAAATGAAGTCAGAAAAACCACACAGCAACACTCTGGGCTTGCCTTTCCACTTGAATCTAGCATGTTTGCTGTGCCTATTGCCTTGGGAATTGTTTTAAAAAAAAAAAACCCTATACCAATGGGGGTATTCTACAAACTGAAAACCTGCTTGCCCACTTCCATCTAAAGCTGACTGCTATATCCAGGCTTGAAGATAACTGAGTCCCTTTATTTGTCCAGCCTCTCTAAACTCCACTGAAGCAGACATGAAGAAGAGCCGAATGGGCCAGAGAGTCAGTCTGTCCCATCTTTCCTGTCTTGGGACTCATGCAAATTTACTAGAGAAAAGGCAGGCATCCCAGAGTTAGGTTCTCTGTTCACCTTCTAACCTTGAAATACAATACGGAATATTATCATCCCCCCATCCCCTGGCAAACCCCAGAGACACAAAACACCCATTTTCTTCAGGATCACTGGAGCTCTAGAAGATAATCTTCTTTCTAGCAGTTCACAGATGCATTTAAACCATAAGACCTGTTCTTAGGGATAGTATCTTGACAGAGATACATGTGGAGTTACTGAGTGATGCAGAATTTTCCCATAAGCCATTGTGTTAGGAAAAGACCATTCCATCAAAGATAATATCACTCTCTAACTAAACTCTGGAAGGAACTCAAATAGCAAGACTGTATTGCAAAGGCTCTAAATAAAAGTGGTCCTGGTTGTCAAAGGATGAGGGGAGGTTCGGATGCCAGGCTGGGGCTGTGGACCAGAGGACAAGCAGAGCCCTACCTGATAGGCATCAGGAATGTTGACTGTCTCTCCGTGCTCCCCGACATAGCCAATGATGCCTTTGCCCCAGGGGACCTGCACCTCGTTTGAGTTCTCTGTGCTGCTGCATGGGAGGAGTGGGGTTCCTGCGTGCACATCAAAAAATTTGGAGACCAAACTCTTCTTGCCAGCAGCTGCCCCCTCCACTAAGAAGAGAGAGCAACGGTCAGCGTCCACCATGAGACAGACAAAGATGAGGATCTTGTAGCTTAGGCTGGTGAGGTCAAGGTCATTGGAAATGTCCTTCACCAGTTCCAGAAAAAACTGGCGTTCGTTATGCTTTTTGAGGTGGCATTTGTAGTCGATGGCCGTAGGGGGGTACTGAGGCAGATTCACCCTCGATTCCAGCAGGGCGCTGAGAATGTGGGCTGTGGTGGGGGGCAGAGAGCTGGCCTTCCTGAGCAGGGCTCTCCGCCGGACACTGCTCATGGGCTCCTGGGCCCGGGAGGTCACCTGTTCATCGTAGGTCCTGTTCACATGAATGGCTTTGGAGCGGGCAAAGCTCTTCCGCAGCTCTTTCTGCGAAGCTTTCCGCTGCAGGTTCCCATCGCCCCGGCTGCCACTGGCCCAGCTGGGGCTCAGGGGAACCCCAGCACTTTCCCCACCACTGGGCATGGGATGGCTGTTAGCAGAGCCCTGTGGTCCAGCAACACCAGCATTCCCAGTGCTGCCTCTGCCACTACCCTGAGCCAAGCTGCCAGTGCCAGCCAGGGCAGGCTTCAGGCCTGAAGCCCCCTCTCCCGGACTGTGCCTTTGTAGCCACTTGTCCACCAGCTCCTGCTTCCCTTTCCGCATCAAATAGTCTTCCAACAACTCTGGATGCCTATCCAGAAAAGTTTCCACCTCCCCGAAGTCCAGGCTGGAGGCTGCCATGGTCCAAGGCGCCCCTTGCCTTGTCTCTCTGCTCTTGGACCACACGATAACCTGTCCCAAGGCCTCTAGCTGTTTCTGCACATGTTTGCCCACACCGGTGTCCCCAGCTCCGTGCTACCTCCCTGAGGGCCAGCAGGAGGTTGATAGGAACAGCAGGATCCCAGCTGGGTGGTGCCAACTTCTTCCGAGGTTCAAAGCCGCTGTCACCCACCCTACCCTTGCTCCTCTTGCTCCGGACAGGTGCCGGCCCGGCCCAGAGCGCCGACCGCTGCCACCGCTGCTTTCCTGGGCGGCTCGCACCACCGCTGCTCCAGCTCCCGCAAGCCGCCGCTCCGCCCGCCGCTGGAGCCGGCAGAGTAGACCACTGTGTGCCGGAGGTAGGCAGGACACGCCCCGGAGTGAGGCTCCGAGACTGCGGGGGGTAGGAGGAGAGGAGCAGATGGGACGCACAGCAGCCAAAGTCCACGGCCCAGGGTGCCAGGCGGTTCCTGGAAGAGTCTCTGCGCAGCTCCGAGTGGGGAACGCACCTAGATGCCCCCCCCCCAAAACGCCCCGCACGCCGCCCTAGCAGCCTCACCTCCCCAGCCCGCCCCGCTCCGCCCCCTAATCCTTCAGCTTTTCAGAAGGCCTCTGGGAAGCCCAGTGGGAGTCCACGTACTGAGAAATATTGATGATCTGTGAGGATCAGAACCCAAAGTGCACTCCGAAGAAATGAGGGTCCCCAGAGCCAGCCCGGGTTTTATTTTTCTGGGATGAGACTGTACTTTTAGTTTGCTCGGTTCCTCGGACTGCCCAGCACTCTGTGGGCGTGCAGTAAATTTTAATCAAACTAGTTTCCTTGAAGTTCCCTGTGTAAGAGATTCTTGAATTTAACGAAACTCGGAGATCCTTACCCCCTCCCTTCTCTCGGTGATGGAGGGGAGCTGTACTTTGAATGAGGGTGTAAAACTCAGTTACCCTGTTTTAGGGAGACCCCTTGGAGCAGGGGCTCGTGGACCCGTGGGCGTAAGCCTCCTTTTCTGCTGTGCACTAGATCCATTGATTCTCTTCCTCTCACCAAAGAGTCCTTAACTTCTCTTCCTTCTCTCTCAAAAGTCACAACGTCTTGGGGCTTCCGCACCAAGATGTCTGCTGTAACAGGTTGGCCCTGCTCTGGCAGTTCTTTGGATCTGGTTAGTCATGCTAACAAAAGATTTCGCATTGGCATCTTAAAGAGGATCGAGGTGATGATGATGCTTTCTTTCCTGAAGGAGGGATACCTCCGCTCCTGCGGGAACAAGGCAAATGCAGAACCCGGGCCACTTCCAGAATAGGAGACCCTTCCAGAATAGGAGACCCTTCCAGAATAGGAGACCCTTCCAGAATGCTAGAGGTGAGAGTGGTAGACCAGAGCGGCAAAGGAGGCAAGGAGCGATTCCCGGAGGCTCCAAGTGGCAGCCCAATGTAGATGTCTTCTGTAAGTGGACATCAGAGCTGAGTAGGCAAGGTGTATTAAACCTTACATTAGCATAGGAATTAAATTCTTTCAAGAGGCCTATGGCACAGAGGCTTATTTCTCTTTTTTAAAGATAGAAAATGCTGGGTAACTAAGTAAATGAACCCAGGACTCACAGCCAAGCGGCGTATGCTCATTAACTTGGCTCTAGAGGGACGCACACACTCAGACAGGACACCGAACTGTCCCCCGCCTGTGCCAGAATGTAGAACATACAAAGAAGGTGGTTGATGAGGTAGAGCATCTTCTAAGTATCCTTCCGACAACACCAGGGGCAGAGAACACTTGCTCAAGAGTTCCAAGCCAGCCGTGAGACAGCTCATCGGGAACAGGCACTTTCTACTCAGCCTGACAACCAGAGTTCCATCCCAGGATACACGTGGAAAGAGAAGGGACTCCCTCAGATTGCTCTCTGATCTCAGTGCAGCCCACCCACCCACACGATAAGTAAACAAAAAAAAAGGTTGTTCTAAAGTTTTAATTCCAAATGCCCCTGCTTAATCAACGCAGCCTGGCAACCAGAACACCAGTAGGGATTGAAGGAAGGCCCCAGTGTTTTTCTCGCCTCGTACACAACACTGCTGTACTGTGACCAGCAGGAGGAAGGAAATGGCTCTTGTTGTTTTGTAGCGACTTTATCGATGCGTGAATCACCAAGCTTTCTAGCCACTCTTTTGAAGTTATAATCCAGGGTTGAGGATAGAGCTCAGTTGGTTGAATGTTTGGTTAGCAAGCATCATGCTAAACACTCCATAAAGCAGGTATGTAGTCCCAGGACTTTATAGTCCCAGCAGTTGGGAGTTAGACATATGGGGATCAAAGCTACATGAGATGTTTTGTCTAAATAATAATAACAATAATAAGGGGCTGGAGAGAAGGCGTAGCAGTCAAGAGCATTGCTGTTCTTGCAAGGAACCTGATTCCCAGCACCCACATGGCAGCTCAGAACCATCTTTAACTCCAGTTTCTGGGGATCTAATGCCTTCTTGCGGCCTCCACAGACTCCAGGCACACACTTGGTGCCCACACATACATACTGACAAAACACTCACACACATAAAATGGAAATAAATAAGTCTCTAAAGACTAGATAAATAAAGAGATACAAGTTAGTGAAGCTCAGCATATTCATGGATTGTGTGTTTGGTGCTCACAGGGTGAAGGAAAACAAAGAAAATACACAGGACACCAGGATGTCGCTGATAGGTGACATGAAGAGCAAAGGTTAGAAAAGGACTGGATAAAGGGAAGAGGTGAGGAGGATGTCGTTCTGCGGAGGGGGCAGCTCAGCAGAAACCTATAAAAATGAGGTGTGTTACAGCTTGAATAACAAACAGCCTACCAGGCCGGAGAAGCACGCTCCAATTGCGAGAAGGAACAGGTTGGAGTATCTGCGAAACAGCATGAGGCCAGCTACAGGCAGAGAGCCAGAAGCAGAATGCTGGTAGTTAGGAGTTGACAGCTGCCAAGAAAGTAAGTAGTGATGAAGAATTAAAGAAAAAAAAAATGTTTTGCACAGTTCCCAGATCACAGGAAGTGCTTAATAGACAGTAGCTATTCTGCTGGTTTAATTTGTATCAATCTTTATTTGTATCATCAGTGTTGTGTGGAAACCTCACTGGCTACAGTCTCATCTCTGGTCACTTCAGTGACATGTGAGGGGGGATGGTTAATGGCTTGCTAGAACTGGCTAATAGGGGCTTACAAGAGCCTATTTTAGCCTATGTTTCCAATGAATGTCCACTTTCAGCATACAGCTTACAGTTAGCCATGATGGAAATGTGTGTGCAGTCCACAAATGTTCCAAGACTGGATTTGAGAGTGTGAGCGAGTCAGTCAGTTGTTCTCTGTCCGTGTGTGTGTGTGTGTGTGTGTGTGTGTGTGTGTGTGTGTGAGAGAGAGAGAGAGAGAGAGAGAGAGAGAGAGAGAGAGAGAGTTGCGTGTGTACGCGTACATGTATGTGCTTGGGTGTATGTGATATGTGGGTGCCATGGCACATGTGGAGGGCAGAGGACATCCTTTGGGTGCAGGGGTCTTACCTCTCCATTGTACTTGAGATAGGATCTCGCCACTGCTGTGAAAGTCAAGCTGGCTGGGCCACAAGCTTGTGGAGAGCCCTGCCTCCACCTGCCGTTCCCTGCAGGCCCTTGGGGTTACAGATGCTCATGTTAGGGCAACCAGCTCAGTTAGGGGATCCAGGCTCAGTTCACCAGTTTGGGTGACAAGTATATTACACATGGAGCCATCTCCCCACCTCCAGGAATTTTTTTTCAAATTTTTGGTTGTTTAATAGTTATTAGTATTGGATGAAAACAATTGACTAATTACTTAATTAGTAGATAAAGTCCTATAATGAAATAATATCCTGCCACAAAAGGAACGAGGTTCTGATACAATATAAAAAAATCATGAGAAGTCAAGACAGTCACCCACAAAGGTCACATTTGTATGATGCCATTTATATCAAAAGTTTAGAATAGGACACTCCATTAGGGACCGAAAATGGACTAATTTCTGAATGGAAAGGAAGAAGAATGCCTGAGCTAAGTGTGGGGAGTTTTGGGGTTTTGTTTGTTTGTTTGTGAGGAGTCGGGTAAGGAGAATGTTCTAACACCCATGTCCTGCCATCATTTACTCATGATTACTGTTCTGTGGTGCCGGAGATGAACCTAGGACGGAACACACACCAGGCAAGCACTCTACCTCTGAGTAGTGCCCCTTGCCATCTTTTGTTTTTCCTTTGCGGATAGGCTCTCGCTAATTTCCCCAGGCTGGCCTTGAGTTCACTCCGTATCCCAGGCAAGCCTAAAAATTACAGTCCTCCCATATCCGCCTCCCAAGTATCTGGAATTACAGGACTGTACCATCCCTCTCCGAGGCTGGGCCATACTGTAAACTTTAAATGAGGGAATTATACCTCAATAAAAATTTTGCATACCCAAACCCCCTTTACTATCATACTCCTGGCCATACTACACAGTACTACTGCATATGCAGGCAATACAGGCCCCAAGCATCCTCAGAGACGGGAGCACAAATCAGTCCTGGGATGCCCAAGGCAGAAGTTTAATAAATAGCCTTTTTGACATACTCATTACATATGCAGTTTTATCATTCACCGGTCTCTGTAGGCAAAGATGGAGATAAAAACTCTGGTTTTGCTATATCGTATATATTTCCAATGTGGCAAGACTTGTGTCATGATTGCCTTAACCCTTTCTAAACTCAATCCAGTGGCACTAATTATATTCACAGGTTTGTGCAGCCACCACCGCCCAGCCAATCACTTTTTGATCTTGCACACTGAATCCAAAACCTCTGATTTAGATCTTGGATCTCTTTTGCAAAACAAGAGGCGGGTGCTGAGAATTCTGATAAGAGTAAGACAAGCCATAAAAGAGATGGGGGGTGAATTTGGCATTTCTGGTTTGGTTTTGAATTGGCTGTGTCTGTGTTCCCTGCTTGGCACATGAAGTCACGGTAACACGGAAGCGTTGTGTGGAGGTAGGAAACGGGCAGGCTTGAGAACACTGTGACAGAAGGCTGCATAATAAGCTTGTGTTGGTGTGGTCCAAGCGTCATCCTCGCTTCTTTTCACAAAGTTAGAGTCCCGACAGGAGACAGAACCCACTCAAATCAAAATGATTCTAAGAGAACTGAATTAGAAAGGCTAACTTAAAAGGTAGATTATAGAGAAATCCCAGGGATAGCGAAGGAAACCTATAGACACAACA